AGCTAGATAATATTTTAAGAAGTTCAAAAAACAACAGAATATTACCACTATAGAAATGATGTTCTCTTAGATATAGGAGGAGAGGCACTTGGGAGGACATTTTCATTTTTGTACATAACATGAATATAACAAGACCCGTTGCTGTAGAACTGATGAGCAAGTAATCTGTGATATGTTTAGATAGAATGATGTGAGTATTTAAGTGCACTAGTTATATATACAACTTAGATTTTAGCTTTGCTTTCCAAACCAAACACCAACAATTCAAAAAGCAGGTAAAAACTGTATTTCTCAAACTCAACTGGAAACAGTGAACTACACTTGATTTCTGCTGAAGATTTGAAAGATTAGCACTTTCATTTTCTTTTCTTTCCTTTTTTTTTGGGGGGGGTGGAAAGGGGATGCCAGTCCCTGGGCTTGAACTCAGGGCCTGGGCACTGTCTCTGAGCTTCTTTTGCTCAAGCCTAGCACTCTACTACTAGAGCCACAGAGCCACTTTTCTGGCTTTCTCTATGTATGTGGTACTGAGGAATCGAACCCAGGGCTTCATGCTAGGCAAGCACTCTACCACTAAGCCACGTTGCCAGCCCACACTTTCATTTTGATAGCATTCTTTTAAAAGCATAATCTGAATCAGTTACATAGCCATTCCACAGTCAAAATCAAGGATGTGAAAACTCAAGGATATGAGAAAGACTACAGACTAGAGAAAAAGAGACAGAACCTGTAAAGTAAATGACATTTTTGCCAAGTAAAAGCCAAACCACTTAACCTGTAGCATAAAGAGAAAAGTTCTGTACTGTTCAAACTACATAGAAGAGTGGTTTAGGAACTGAGTAAACATGGGATAAATATGATATAGAAAACTGCATACTTATGTCAAGGCAGACAATAGTATATTTACAATACAAAGAAAGATTTAGTTACAAGCCAGGCATAGTATTGCATTCTTGTAATCCCAGCACCAGTAAAGCAGGCAAATAAAGAGTTTGAGGCCTGTTTGTGCTATACAGTAAGACACTGTGTCAAAAGGGGGGAGGGGAGGATTGAGTTTCAGTAAAACAATATCAATCTAAATTTGATTTGATAGTTTTGCTACTTTATCTAAAAATTTACCTAAATATCTTCCTAATTTAGGTGACTACTAGGGATTCAAAATTGTTTCCTTTAGAAATGAAGTTGTGCTGAGCACCCATGGCTCACGCCTATAATCCTAGCCACTCAGGATGCTGAGATCTCACAAATTCTGTTCAGTCAGCCCAGGCAGGGGCTGGGAAGGTGGCTTAGTGGTAGAGTGCTTGCCTTGCGTGCATGAGGCCCTGGGTTCCATTCCTCAGCACCACATAAGCAGAAAAAGCTGGAAGTGGTGTTGTGGTTCAAGTGGTAGAGCGCTAGCCTTGAGCTGAAGAGCTCAGGGTCAGCCCCCCAGGCCCAGAGCTCAGGCCCCACAACAGACCAAAAAAAAAAAAAAAAACAAAAACAAAGTCAGCCCAGGCAGTAAAGACTATAAGACCCCTCTTGCCAACTAATCGCCAAAGAAAAGGCATCAGTGAAGCTATGGCTAAAGCAATATAAAGTGCTAGTGCTAACCTTGAGAACAAAAGCTCAGGGACAACACCTCAAGAACAGACACCAAAACAAACAAAAAACCCCTGAGATTACTATACTGAGGCTAAAGCAGGAAGATCATGAATTTGAACTTAGCCTATGCTACATAGGGAAATGTGTCAAACAAACAAAAACAGATTAATACAGGAGTCTAACCATAAAGACTCATTCTCAAATCTTGGGCCCCCTACTTGCTTATCATGCAATCTCAGGCAATTATCTGAGCCTCAGTTTATTTACAAGTCACTATGAAGACGATTATAGGTACACTGTAACACAAATTATTTTCCTGCTTCTCTAAATTAGCCTCTCCATGGGGCTGAGAAGGTGGCTCAGTGGTAGAGCACTTGCCTTGTATGCCTGGGGCCCTGGGTTCAATTCCTCAGCACCACATAAGCAAGAAGAAAAAAGCCGGAAGTGGCGCTGTGGCTCAAGTGGTAGAGCACTAGCCTTGAGCTGAAGAGCTGAGGGACAGCGCCCAGGCCCAGAGTTCAGGCCCCACAACCAGACCCAAGTAATAATAATAATAATAATTAATAAATAAACAAATAAATAAATTAGCCTCTCCTGATTTTTCTACATTTTATGACAGCCAATATCCTATCAAACACCAGAGTTTAAGAATGTGTCATCTGTGACATCTCAAATAACATAAAATTACAACTTCTCAATGACTATATCCCTCGGCAACCAACAGTAATTTATAAAGCTTAGAGCCTACTATGATATTTTTATACCTGACTCCCTTCATCTACAATACATCCATACACCTAAACTTTACTGAGTTTATCTCCTTAGGAATATTCAGGAGACTATCACTATCCTAGTGAAAATAAAAACAAAAACAAACAAAAACCTCTAGCAATAAGCCCCCCTCCTTTCCCTTCCCTTTTTGAGGAAGACGTCTAACACAGGGTCTCACTGGGTAGCTCAGGCTGGCCTAGAACTTTTGATTCTCCTAACTTCATCTCTTGAGGGCTGGGATCACAGGTCTGAGCCCCATGCTAACTGTTCTTAAACTGAAAACTCCCTGAGATCATAATATTGAGGTTATATTCAGCTCTTATCTCTAGCACAGTGTATGACCCATAAAAGATACCCAGTGCAAGCTGACTATCCATTCTCAAAAAGGAAGTATTCCAAGTTTTCAGATTTTGGAATATTTGCATCAACTTTACTGTTAAGCATAACCAAATCAGCAAATTTGAAATGCTCCCAAATCAGAAGCTTTCTGAGTAAAACATTTTGGATCTTAAAGAGTTTCAGATTAGGATGTGCAACATATAACAGTTTGCAAAACAGGAACGAAAATCTAAAGCTGGACATAGTAATACACACCTAAAATTCCAGCACCTGGGAGGTTCAGACAGGTAGTTTGTGAGTCAGAAATCAGCAGGGGCAATATAAGTAAAAACCTGACTCAAACAAACTAACAAACTAAGTAAACTAATTTGAAAACACTTTAATATATCTAGCTTTTAAATCTTAGTTCTATTACTAAATAAACTCAGTTGGCATGAACCAAATAATTGCAACATGAAAAGTATAATTAAAAAACAAAGATCCAGGGGCTAGAAAGTTGGCTCAGTGGTAGAGTGCTTGCCTCCCATGCATGAGGCCCTGAGTCTGATTCGTCAGCACCACATAAGCAGAAAAAAAGCCAAAGTGGCGTTGTGGCTCAAGTGGTAGGACACTAGCCTTGAGCTGAAGAGCTGAGGGACAGCGCCCAGGCCCAGAGTTCAGGCCCCACGACCCACAAAAAAGAAAAAAAGAAAGATCCAGTTCCTATTACGTAATGCAATATCAAACTATATGTTAATGAAATATTTATATTAAGCATGATATATTAAATATTTAATGACATGTATTTTAATAATTATTTGATATTCTAAGCACTTCTCAAATATTTCCTCTGAAACTTTTTGGGTCATTAATTTTTATAGTGAATAAAAGCCAGAAGCACAGGGCGCCAGTGGCTTACGCCTGTAATCTTAGCTACTAAGGAGGCTGAGATCTGAGGATTACAGCTCAAATCTAGCTCCGGTAGGAAAGTCCTTGACACTCTTACCTCCTTAACCTCTAGAAAACCGGAAGTGGCACTATGGCTCAAGTGGTTAGAGGGCTCCCTTGAGCTGAAGAGCTGAGGGACAGTGCCCAGACCCAGAGTTCAAGCCCCACAACCAACCAAAAAAAAAAAAAAAGCCAAAAGTCTAAACTATTCACACATTTCCATAAACTAATTCCCTCCTAAATACAAAATACAATGTACAGCATTATATAATGTCTGTTACTCTTCCGCAATTTGAACAAGGGAATTTACTGGTAAGCAAAAGTGTTAGTTACTATTGGGCATTTCTTAAGTATTAATCTGTTACTTTCAAACACTCAATGTTACTGACCAATCTTGCACTGCTGAAGGTGTGGAGAATAAAAGAGGATCCTAAATTAATGTATAAAAAATTGATTACTATGTAACCTTTCAGTAACATTCCTTTCATGTGCAAGGAAATAGCCTGCTTAGGGATCCTGCAACATACATATGCATCTTTACATAATCTAAGAAATGTAAAGTGTGTCCATCATACAGTCAATCATCTCTTAGAATACAGCAGAGGTCTTACTTTCTCTACCAACTTAGTGGTCTCACATCTAATCACAACTAAGGCTTCCATCAGGCCATGGCAGCCTCCCTTTGACAATGGAAGTAAAACTCATGACCAAAATAGATTCCTGAATTGAATTTCCCATGGAATACAGCCTAGTGTAAAATCTTCCATAACTTTATTCTCTGAATTCATGAAATTGGAAGGGACGAGTATGGGTATAAAATATGACTGACAGTATCTCAATTATTATTTGCCAATTGGCAGGAGCATAAAGGCCACTCTTTGGTTGACAGACCCATAATGTCAAAAATAAAGAAAGGCAAAAACGGTTTTTAATCGATTGCTACAAAACTGGTCCATATGCTCAAAAGACGTGAGGCTCCACACCCCCAACAAGTTATAGACTGTGATCTAAGTCGGACCTAAAATGCAGAAGAAAATGCCAATGCTTTGCCTCCCTAAAGGAACATGCAACCCCATAAGACTGCTGGAGACCACCAAGCCCACAACACCCGTCAGAGTGGATATTTTGGTATCACATCAGGAAATCATGATAAGCACTAGCGGTTCCTCTAGGCCTCAGCGGCAGCCTGAGGTATAAAAGCAAACTCGAGCCCTCTTGATACTCAGAGAATAATGTTGATGTCATTACGAGGCTACCGATCCTTTGCACTCCGGACAAGTCATTCCCGGATCACACGCAGTTCCTCCTCCACCCACCCACATCTCCCCAAATAACAGCGACCTCCAGACAGCCAAGTGCTCGGGTACCCCGTCCTCCTCTACCTCCAGCGGCTGCCGCTTGCTCCTCCCTGGGGCTCCGAGGTGGGGGCTCCAGAAGGTCCCGGGCAATCCCGAGTCCGGGTAGTGCTTGGTTTGCCCGTGCACAGTAGCTCTGCCCAGTTGCTTCCTTTCCCACTTGGCCCGGACTGGAGTGCTACAGGGTAACCAGGAGCCGAGGAGGGACCCCGGGTGGCGAGGTCGCCGCCGCCGCCGCCTCTGGTATGTCAGGGGCCGGGATTGTATTTCGAAAGATCCGCCATTTTCACCTCGTCATCACCATCACAGCTCAGCAGCTTCCCCGGCAGCCCAGCCCGGGCCGGCGCGCCGCCGCCGTCAGTCACCTCCCCCTTCTTCCTCCTCCTCCCCGCCCCGGCCCGCCCTCCCGGCCGCGCCGCGCCGCGCCGCGCACACCCACATATCCGGGGACACCTCCCGCCGGCCCTGCCAGCCTTCACACGCGCGCCGGGGTTCAAGTGCTCACCTGCGGGGCTGGGCCAAGACCTTTCACCCCCAGACCAGACACCCGGTCTCCGCCGGCGCGCCGAGAGGCGTCGCACTGCGCGGGGTCCCAGGTCCGGCATCTTTCCTTTTGGCAAAGCCCTGGCCTTGAGGAAGGTGGTACGAGGACAATAAAGAACCCAGACACTTTCATTTTCAGAAAGGCACTTGAAAGCCAGTGGGAAGTGTTTCATTCCCTGTATCCATCTCAGACCAGGAAGACACTATGGAGCCCTTTAATGTCAACTCACTAACTCTGAAATTCTACTCCACCATCGAAACTACTTTGACAGCAAGGAGCTCTTCCCCCAACGCACGTCTGATCTCTGGCACCCCAGAGAATTACAAGCACGGATCCTTAAGCAGATACAACGGTCCACATGTTTGATTACTAAATTTATTTTTATCCTCTTATCCTCTCCACTTAACTGGTCATTCTCCTCTCCACTTATTTACCTCGTCTATGGACACTGACTTCCGACTTGTCCGTGATTTAGGATGCCAGTGCGACGCTGGATATAAAATGCGTTGCTCCCACTGTGGAAACTTTCATTCTAAAATACAGACTGTTAGCTAAATTCACCCCATGTTGTTAGAATAAAACTCGAAACTAAACACTGTCTGCCACTGACATATTTGCAGTGAAAACACACAGCCTGTTTTAGAACAGGACCCCAGAATTACCTGTGCACCCCCTAACAGCCCCTTTCACGAGTCAGCTGAACAAGCAACTACGAGAGCAAAAGTATTTTTTAAATCATCAGGTAAGAAAACCACCTGCAGGTCTTCTGGTAAGACCGACCTTTCGACAGAATCAGCTACCTCTGTTACTTTCAGGAAGATTTAATAAGCACCCATACAACTGTCGTCCATTCAACTACACACATAAACTCTACAAGACCTAGCTGAAGGGAGCAAACTGAATTTCAAGGTTGCCAACAAGGCCATAGTACTGTCATTTTTTTTGTTTGTTTGTTTAAGTTGCTGTAAGAAGAGTCAGCAGAAGCCATTCCATTTCCCTACCTTGTCTGGATGACAACTCCATAGAAAAAGGTCAGCAGGTTGAGACTTAACTGAGGGCCATGTACCACCCACTCCAAGCCTCGTTTGCGGATGCAGCCTGCTAGACGCGGAGGGCCACCGGGTTCCCAGTCTCTTCACCTTTAAACTTGGACGTGCCCACCCACCGCCGCGTCCAGCCCGCAGTCCGGGGGCTGTTTACCGTTGCTTGGCCAAGCTCGGTCCCAGCCCGCTCCCTTCCCGAGCACCTCGGGGACACGGTGACATTTGGCTGGTGGGCTCCGCGAGGGAAACGGACACCACACCGAGGGGCGCCCATACGAAGGGGCGGAGTGGGGGGGGGTGGGTGGACGGGGACGGCGAAAGGAGGGGCTGCGACGAAATGACACAGCAGCAAAACCGGTTTCCAGAAGCCGGGGCCGCCGCCGCGGCTCCTCCGGCC